AACAGTATCATAGAGAGTTTATCAGACTTGACAAATTCAAGCACTTTTAACATTCACTGTCTTCCAGATAGTCATAGTAAACCATTTGAATTTTGGATTCATTGAAATTCCCACAAAATAGTCCACCCATCACTTCCAAACAAAGAAATGGTGGTAACCCAGATAAATTGTCATAACCTGCAATTCAACTAGATAATACTACCCAGATAATACTACCTCTTCTCTATCATGATCAACATCCAAAAATCTACTGAACAGCCGACATCGGAATAAGAACTTCCGATGAGTTGAGTATGTTCCCCACGCCTGCATGGCTACTCCTAATTCTAAAGCCTACAAAATGGGACTCCCACCCCACTATGGCAAACAACCATGCTGGTATAGAAATCTAGAGGTCATCCATTTCCGGAATACCCAAAACACTTCTACATTTATATTTCTAATAGATGGGGAAAACAAGGACGCTTACTTACTCCCGCGGGATGAACAATTGATGAACAGTTGAGGAATGAAAACTCCAACACAGTGAGAAATAGGGAGTTTTCACGAGGCATTAGCACTATTTGGTTGCCTAGCTGCTCCACCTGAACGGCCGCCTCTACCTCTAACTTGTTGATAACCTTCGCCTCTGCCACCACTTGGATAACCCCTTCCCCTACCAGTGGGATATTCACCTCTGTTGTTGTTGTTGTTGTTAAATTCCGGTCTTCCACCAAAACCCCTACCACCTCCACCGTAGTTCCCCCGGCCCCCTCTGAAGCTGTCATTGCGATACATTCCACCCCTTCCTGTTGGGAACCTACCTCTTCCGTTACCAACTGCAACACCAACTACCATCATTCAACGATTCGGTTTACAAGTTTATGTTAAATACATAACATGATCATTCGACTGCCCTTTCTAACTTCAGCATCAATGTGAGACTGTGAGAAACCAATTAAAAGTTTAAAAAAGATAAGTTAAACATGGATGCAGAGTCTCAAACTCACCTCGAGTTGAAGTTCTCTTCATCTAAACAATTGATTGACGACCTCCGACTGGAACAGGAGAAGCCTAATAAGGAGACATCATCTCAAGGCATTAAATCGAATTCGAATAATTTTGGAAGTGGGATTGACGAGACAAATCCCGACATTTTTATGATACCCACGGGGTGGGCTTTCCATGGAGAAGGCAGTCGTCGCCCCAAATGCTTTCTCCACTGATAACGAAACCGAGGCAGAGAAGCCATTACTGGAGCTTGAAGAAGAAGGCTTACTGCTCTTCTTGCAACCGGCGGAGTAGAGGCGGAGCAGCGGCGGAGTAGAGGCGGAGCAGCACGGAGCAACCGCGGAGCAGTCGCTGGCCTGGTCGCCGGTCGAGAAGAGGAGGATCGCGGTCGCCTGGTCGCCAGTAGCAGGAAACGAAAAACCAGACTGCGCTCCACTTAGTCGCAGATGATTTAGGGTTTTGAGGCTTCGGCCGATTTAATTTTTTTTTTCCTAAAGCCAAAACGACGTCGTGTCCTCCCCATCAGCTTCCTCCCGGTTAGACCAAACGGGGTGGTTTTTTGAATTGTACCAGTTTTATCGGGAAAACCGCCCGGAACAATTCTTTCACAACAAACCAGCTACCGTATCGGCCAGGCGCCGGTTTCCGGTTTTACCGGTTCAACCGGCCGGTACGATCCAGTTTCCTTTACCATGTTGCTGAGGTAACTCGACGACAAGCTGGGAACATTTGAGGGCAAGACGGAAGTTGAGGAGCCGACGGCGGCGACCGCTACCGAGAATCGAAGGAACGACCGGAGAAAAGTGATTGAAGAAAACGTTGAGAGGGAAAGTGGGTTTGGAGATTAGTAGGGTTAATTATTTGAGTAGGGACGTGGGTTTAGAAATTAGTAGGTTTAATTATTTGATTTTTAAAATTATTTATAATTCCGTATATATCCTTAACAACTAATTAACTAATAACTATTCACTAACTACTTAAAACCACAATAGCCAATCACAATGCTTTAAGATCCTCCTTAAGAAAGGGGGTTTAAGTACATGAACTTAAGCCAACTCGAACGGGTATGGGCATGGTTTTAATTTTCTACCCATTTCTTTAGTGGGTATGAATATGGGTAAAACCCGAACTACTTTTGGTAGGGGAACGAATATGCAATATCCGTGCCCAACCCGACCCGTTGCCATCCCTAATTAGGATGACAATTAAATTCATAATCGATGAAATTTGAGTCGGATATAGGTTTTATCCGTTTTATAAATTGGCGTGGTAGGATTGAGTTGTGGCGCTTTTCATCTGATTTGCATCCAAAAAGCAAAATAACGTTTTTTTGTATGTACTATGAACAATATGAATGATCTACGGATGCTATTAGTCTTTGTGACTGATATACAAACCTAATAACATTGATAATTTATGGATGTTATTATCTTCATAGAGATATATTTGTCGGAATTTTTTTGATAATACTACAATTTGGATTTGTCGAAAAAATAATGTGATTATGCTTGTGAATCCATGAAAACTCATACATACATGAGTATCCGTTAAGTTGAATTGGATTTTATCTTCTAAAATCAAAGGGTTATAGGTATAATATGCCCCTCTACTATGACGTTTTATCAAACATGCCCCTCTACCATTTTTTACATCAAACATGCTTATGTACTTTGAAAAAATTATCAAACATGCCCTTCTGTTAAGATTTCCATTGATAAAATCGTCAATCATGGTTGAACCGAGATTTAGACGACCCAACATCGGCAAATGGGAGCAAAAATGTTAGTTTTTTCTCCCGTTTTATTTCTCTAGGTATCTTCAAAGTGAAATTATTTGAATTATTTGGCTATACAAAAGAACAAAATAAATTCTAAAGTGAAATTATTAAGGATATTTTAGACATTTGTGCCGCCCAAACCAAAGTTCCACCTTGGTTAACGATTTTTGGAAAATTTAAGCAAAAGGGCATGTTTGATCATTTTTACAAAGTACAAGGGCAGGTTTGATGTAAAAAATAGTATAAGGGCATGTTTGATAAAACGTTATAGTAGAGGGGCATATTATACCTATAACCCAAAATCAAATGAATACACTACCGAGCTTTTTTAATAATACACCCTTTAAATTGGTTTGGATTTGGAAAAACCCGATCCACCCCAACTCATTACCATTCCTAGTTACGACAAAACCGTATAGCTACAATAGCGGGGAGAAATTGCAGAGGGAATAGTTAAGAGTAGCGCATTGCGGTAATCAATTTCCCAACAACCAATGTTGGTATGGTTGAATGTTTGTGTTAAAACGCTTGAAATTAAGTTGAAAATTAATCAATGATATTAGTGTTGATTGATTCGGGTCCAATTGTACACATTTTACCCCTCATTTCTTGTTCGTTTTGTTTAGTAGATCACCATATCTCGTGCTTATTTTATGCTAGGTTGTGCTTGTTTTGTTACATTTCAGGTCCTAGCACGTGTGGGAAGTTCCGAGACGAGTTTTGGGTCATTCGAAGGTCAAAACGAGCCAAAAAGTGGAGGTTGAGCACTGTTCAAGGGCTTGAGGCAAATGTCACGCCCTGAGACCATGAAAATCATCCCCCAGGGAGTGAAGTGATAACTTCACGGTCTGGACTCATTTATCACGGTCTTAAGACCGTGATAATAAGTCCCATATCGTAAACTGGCCAATTTCCAGAGCGGTTTGCGGTCTCATTGGACTCAAGTCAGTTCACGGTCTCTAAGACCATGAACTGAAGCCCCATACCATGAACTTGGCACTGTTGGGAAAATATAAAGACAACAGCGGGGAGAGAGAAAGAGGAGTTGGTTTCTGGAGAGGAATTAGTTTCTTTCTCTAGAGTTTCGACCCAAACACCAAAGGGGAGTTCTAGTGAGAGAGAGAGAGAGAGAGAGCTCTTGAGTGATCTTGCAGCTTAATTGAAGGCATTGATCAAGCTTGGAAGCAAGAAATCAAGCCTAGAAAAAGAAGAAGATCTTGGGCTACAATTTGTAATCTCTCTCTTCTCTCTCTAGAAAATCACCCTCTTCTCTTGGGTTTAAGAACCCTAGGTCTAGATTTTGCGTTGTTGTTGATGTATGCGACAAATTCATTATTTCATTGAGTTTATTATCTAATTGATGGATGTTTTAATGAATGGCATGAGTTTGGATTCCATTTTCATGTCTTGAGCTTTTGACATAGGAGGGATATAATCCCCTTAGTGCCCACTATTGGTGTTTTTGGGTCACTCCTATCGTATATTCTTCGGGTAATCCCAGGTGGAGTTGATTCCATTGGTCTCCTAGCAATATTCGAAATCCTAGGTTGAATAGAGAACCTACCCATCCCCCGATTCGCCGTCAATCCTGAGTGAGTCTATCTCCTAACGGTAGGGTAGTGAATCGATTAAGCGGGAATAATACTCAACATCGTTCCAATTGACGGAACTAGGGGTTTCAACCCAAGGGAGCTCCCAACCTTGTAAATAGCGAGGTTAGTGTTTAGTCTAGGTTAGTTTAATTCTTCTAATCACAATCATAGGTTGGCTAGATAACGAACCCCAAACCTGAAGTAGGGTAAGCCTAGATCCCCGTGATACGATAAATTATTATTGCTTGCTTATTCTATACTACACCCGGTCGACGGTTATACTTGGCCGGCAATCGAGATGTGTTAGTTAGAACGAGTCATTCAAACCTAGAGATCCTAATGAAAATTTTCCTATAGTGTAAGCCATGATAATTAATCAAACAATATTGGATTAATTTATGAAATGAGTTGAAGATTAATAAGGATACATTTATTTAACCCCAGAATCTAATTGAACACTTACATTCACCTAGAGGCTAGTATACAATTAACTCTCATTCGTGAACTTTCTATTCATTACTAGTTATCAACCTGCGCTCTGCGCTGGGATGCGTAAAATGTAAGGTATTATTTGTAACCTTTAAAATGTAAGGCATTATTTGTAATCTTCGATTCTAAGCATTGTATTCTCAATACATTTTTCAGTTGATGTAGGTAGACAATGCAAGTAGTAAAAATGCTTGATTTAGAATACACTGTGTCAAAGAGAACGTTAGAACGAAACAGAAGATAGAGAGTGAAACCGGATCACAAATGAGAGAGAAAGAGTCCATTTCCTTGTCATCCTCTCATACTGCCAACAATGTCCAACAACAAACCATTTCAATGGCAAAGGTGCAGGTTTTCTAGGAAAAAAAAACACGGAGATCAATTCTGGCATCGATACCTGGATACAAAGCATAAGCAATACTTAAATCAATACACAGTTTTTTAAGTCTTCAAACACCAAAACAGCAATGCAGGTCCAGCACGAACATCAAGTAGAAAGAAGAAAAAAAAGAGCAAATGGCAAATGCGGCTGAAGCTTGAGTACCCTTTCCGAATGACCAGCATAGCCAGTGAAGGAGCCAGCTCAGGCCTCAAAGCAACACGGCGATTCCAACGATCTTCGAAACAATACAACTGCAGAGAAGGGAAACCATTAGGAAGGGAACCATTCATAACCTACAATGGTTTTTTACCTGTAAAACATTCTAGTTAAGAGTCCTAAGCACCAACATTTGAGCAAAGCAATCAAATTGCAGTTTACTTCCCCTTCATCCAGCACAGAATATTGATTCTATACCTATGGCTGAGAAACTGAGAATTATCATAGTTTCGGACCAGCACACCAACCTGGCCCCTATTTTCCTCTCCAGCTTTCCCAATGAACAAAGCTTCAGACTCTAACACCGGGAAATCAACATCTTCGAATCCATACAACCACGAACCTTCAAACAAACAAATTCATGCATAAAATTACACATAACGGAAGTCATTGCAGTCATCCAGACAGTTCAGACAGTTCTAAATCTACTGTCACCTCTTTGAAGTTGTGGAAGGGCCATTTGTGGTGGCGTATTAACTCGGGAGGGAAATCTCTGATTCCTTTAGGCGAACCATCAGATATTGATCTCCTATGAATCGCATCTCAACCGGCTCAAAGAAATTGAGAGAGCAGCCAGGTCCCCGAAGACCAATATGAAGCCGCTTGTCCCCTCATCTTTGTTGCCGGCGTCGCCGAGTCCTCATTTCGTCTAATGAATTAGAATGAAAACAAAAATCAGAACCAAAAAGACTCCAAATCGGAACCTAGAAAGACAAATACATAAACACCTGTGATTGATGGGATTCTTGCAATACATCATCGCCGGGATGCGAGGCTCCGACATCTAGTCGCACCCACATAGTTGTAAGAAAAGAGCTGGAGAGTGATTTGTCTCCCGGATTGAGATGACAAGAACCAAATGAGTCAATGGAATTAAGAGATGAAGACCTCATATCATAACCAAGGAAGAGAGAGAATGAGAGAAGGGAGAAATAAACCAGGTAAATTAAAACTCACCATGAATGGACCGGATCCCCAAAATTCGGTGTGCCGGAAGTGACGGTGAGAGAAATCGGAGTGCCGCCATTCCAACATCGCCGGCTCCCGTCAATCCCTACAATCTCATGGAGTTTGATAAAACACCATCAAACAAACGATTGAGGCGACCAGTGATGCAAAAAGAGAAGCAAAAATGAAACGAAATTTCATAGATCGAGAGCTCACCAATTGATCCCATGAATTGATCACCCCGACTTCAGCTGACAGTTTCCCGGCGGTCCCTCGCCAAGTTTAAAGGTACAGAGATCCACCAGCGGAGACATTGACCTTTGAATAATCCTGGTCTTCGACGGCTGGGCTGCAGTTACCAATCGGAGCAAACAAAGAGCAGTAGAGAGGGAGAGAGAAGGTGCAGAGAGGGATGATGACAATTGCTTTTGGGTTTGCAGAGAGCACCGACATGAAGAGAGAAAGAGAGCGAGCAGTCGCGAGGAGAGGATAATGAAAAGAGGGCAGAATGTAAAATTCTGATCTCTACAAACTTTCTCCTTTCTTTGATCCCCTTTTCTCTGCAACTGGGTTCGGTGAAATGTGCGGTGGAGAAGGAAGCGGGCTTCCCAATTTGGCTGCTCAATCCCCTCAAACGCAGAGAGAGAGAAAACCCCAAACAAATATCCATAAAGCCTCAGTAAAGTTTCCCCAAAACCAAGACCCCACTGCCATCGAAAACCCACCAGAACCTGGATCCCTGCCTCTCCCCCATTGCCCAACCCACTCACCTTTATCTGCTCTCTCCCTCAGCGTCGCCCATTATCATATCCATCAGCAGTAGCCTTCCCTCCTCAAAGAGGTGAAGCAGGAAAGTAGGAGAGAGAGAAGGGGAAAACAAAGCCTCAGTGGAGTTTCCTCAAAACCAAGACCCCACTGCCATCGAAAACCCACCCAGAACCTGAATCCCTGCCTCTCCCCATTGCCCAACCCACTCACCTTTATCTGTTCTCTCCCTTAGCGTCGCCCACTATCACATCCATCAGCAGTAGCATTCTCTTCTCAAAGAGGTGAAGTAGGAAAGTAGGAGAGAGAGAAGGGGAAATGAGTGTTGATTTGAGGGCGGCTTCCTACCCACAGCAAATACCTGCAACAAAACAAAGTAGGACAAACACGGTGGGCCCAACCGTAGACCAAGAACCAATAGGAAGAGGGTGAATAGTAATTTTAAGTGTATATGAATAGGAATTTTGGGTCTAGGTGAATAGTAAACTCAGTCTTGGTGTACATGGATCTTGTCTTTGCAAATAACTTGTTCTAATATCACTTCCATTTCATAGACTTTCTCATACCTTTTTATTGAATACCTTGTCATCTTTTCACCATTTGACAACACATCCTGCCCATATTTTTGTAAAGACCTAGCATCCAATGTTCTAACTTTTAACCTTGTTTCATACCTATTATCCTTTGGTGCTTACTTCCAAATGCTCATATTAACAGTTTAAACTCTTTTAACCAAGCATTCCAAATAGAGCCCTATTGGCCAACACAATCCATATATGTCGAAGGAGGCAAGCTATGTTTCAGGATTTAAGAATGGGATTAAATACAATATTTTGTTTATTATTAGTTCTAATTTTATGTTTGTTTGGTTGGTTAGTTTGTTGGTTTTGTGTTGTTTCTGAATTATTGAGAACTTATCTTCATCCATACTATGGGATTAAATACAATATTTTGTTTATTCATTAGTTCTAATTTTATGTTTGTTTGGTTGGTTTTTGTGCTGTTTATGAATGATTGAAAACTTATCTTTATCCATAGTAAGAAAGGAAAATTTTGTGGGTGACAAAAATTAATAAATTAATAACTTGAGTGACCAAACGTATAATTATCCTATATTCTAATATAGTTTGTAAATTTATCACTTCTATTATGCTTTAATTTATTGGTGCTTTAAAGTACAACTTGAAGTTGTACTATAACACTAAAGGTACAAATTGAAGTTGTACTTGTACCATAAGAGAATTTGACCTTTATATTATGGTACAGTATAAAAGTACAACTTTTGTTTGTACCATAAAAAAATTTTACAAAAAAATATATGTATAATTTAAAGTTGTACCATAACGTTAAATGTACAATTTCAAGTTGTACAATAAAAGCAAAAACTAAAGCACCAATCCTTTTAAAGCATAATAAAATTCCTCTCGTAAAATAGTGTCATCCACGCATAACAATCCTCCGCCAAGATAAGGGAAGAACGAAAATTACATAAGTTGGGGAAGGGATAACATTAAAAAAATTACAATTAAAAAAATTTGTATTGAAAAGCAAACCAAATTGACCTATTATGTATTTTTTGGGTAAAAACACAAAAAGCAACTGTCGGGGTCGTTTGGAAGTTGCGATTGTTTTGTTGAGATTGTCATTATGCATGTATTGTTTACAATGCATCGTTTTTTTAGCAGAAACAATACATGGATTGTTTCTGTGATGTGACAAAAACTATCACTCATTTTGAGTGATTGTTATATCTCAACTTTTAGTTGTGATTGTTGAGATAGTTGAGTTGAGATTGTTTTGTCTCGGCTTTTGGCTGATGCGACACACACAATCACACATACCAAACGTTGTATTCTACAATGCATCAAATTCGACAATACATGTATAATATTATACATGCATTCTCAACAATACATCTATTTAACAATCGCAACTTCCAAACGACCCCGTAATGGGATGCTCTACCTCTATCTCGTGTTATTAATTACTCGAGTATGAGATCCCGATAATATCATGTTACAACTAATGAACCAATTTAGACTCCAAGTTATCACTAATAGAATTTGGCCAAAAAAAAGTTATCACTAATAGAACTACCTATAGGAGATCGAACACCCTTACTCGCTAAATAGCCGGCCAAATGATTTTTGTTCTCTCTCTCTCTATATATGTATGTATAAATCTAATGTCATCAAAATTGTCTACCATGATTATGATTTGATGGATCATAGGAGTGTAACTATGATCGTCACTCACTACAATAAATTCGGTCTGTTCTGACGAAACAATTTTGTTATATTAGATACTTATTTTGTCAAATTAGTTATAAACTGTCACATTTTCTTTCAGTATATCCGAGGTTCTCAACAGTCTATTGTAACAAACAGAGATATTATGACGACATATTTTGTCATTACGGTTGTCATAATATGATGATATTTGGACTATTGTTCGTCATATTAGATGATTATATTTTGGCATAACTGTATATTGTGACAATGTTGTTTTGTCATACCTGAATATTATGACACGTTATATTTGTCAACAAACGTTCCTTATTTGTCTCATGTCTAATATGACATGAGCTCTGTTTGTCAGTCAATGTATGTAATGTGACAAACGGAGATGTTATGGCAACATATTTTGTCATTAATTTTGTCATAATTTGCTTAATTTGACAACATTGTTTGTCATAATACATGACTCAAGATATAGTGCATAACCATGCAATGGTTATGCACCCATGAGTAACTAAATCTGGACCCTTCATTCAGAAAATCCATATCTAAGGGTAGAGAATTAAATGCATTTTTATTTTCCCTTGTTTTCTTAATCGGCTCATATATTCTTCGTTTTAACTTAGATTTCAATTTTTTTTTGCACAGATGGAACCCGTTCGTTGTGCTCTACAAATTGAGATCCATTTTTTTTTGTTATAAACGCGCTGCTATGGATCGGGAAATCGCCGGAATCGATAAAGCAATAATACGAAAACGAGAACCAAAAAACACAGACACACGATTTACGTGGTTCGCTAACACGTGTTAGCTAGTCCACGGGCGAGAGAGGGCCAGTTTCACTATATCGAGGAGATTACAGATTATAGAGGAGTATGAGAAGTATATATAGTACTTCTCCACGTGGGTCTAAACCTAATCCAATCTGGCAAAGGAAACGATTACAGACCAGGCCCAGAACCCTAACCCAAATAACAACGAGACCCCCGACTACAGTCGTAGCGGCTGATAGTCCGATTCAAGTCACATCAACAAATCTCCACCTTGACTTGAATCCTCTTTCTCTGAAATCTCTGATGTACTCTGCTCCTTCTCTCTCTCTCTCTCTCTCCCGCCATCAATGCCCCGTAGGGAGGAGTCACCCACTCAAGACATTCAGCAAGTCCAAGCAGTGTTGGAACTTACCATGTGGAATCGGCTTTGTGAACATATCAGCAGGATTATCCGCGGTGCCAACCTTCTTCACCTTAATCCTCTTCTCTGTCCTCAAGAAATGATACCTCATGTCGATGTGCTTAGTCCTCTCATGGTGGACTTGATCCTTGGCCAAGCATATTGCTCTCAAATTGTCGCAATACACCATTGCCTGATCATGATGTAGACCTAGATCACCAACCAGTCCCTTCAACCATATTCCTTCCTTAGTAGCTTCTGTCAACGCCATATACTCTACCTCAGTAGTAGACAATGTCACCGCCGACTGCAGAGTTGCCTTCCAGCTCACTATAAAACTCCCAAGAGTGAATATATAACCGGTCATCGATATCCTCGTGTCAACATCTCTAGCATAGTCCGAGT